CGGGAACGCGAATTCAGCGTATCTAGGCCACGCAGGGGGGTATCTAACATGGTTGTCCCGAGCTGGAACCACGTGTTGTTACGTGTCCAGGCCACCCAACGGGGTATCTAACATGACTGTCCCGAGCAAGGACCACGTGTTTCAACATGTCCAGGTCACTCAGGGGGATATCTAACATGGTTGTCCCGAGCTGGCACCACGTGTTTGTACGTGTCCAGGCCACCCATGGGGGTATGGAACATGGCTGTCCCGAGAAAAAAGGACCATGAGTTTTAACGTGTCCAGGCCACCCAGGGGTGCATCTAACATGGCTGCCCAGAGCTGGATCCACGTGGCTTTACGTGTCCAGGCCATCCAGGGGGGTATCTAACATGATTGCCCCGAACCGGGACCATGTGTTTTTACGTGTCCAGGCCGCCCAGAGGGGGTATATAACATGGCGTCAGGTCAAACGCCGAATTATCAGGAAACGCACGGGGCGCCGAAAAGCACTACGCGAACACGTATCCCAATTAACAGAACGTGTTCTTGCTCAGGACAGGGGGTGGCGTTTTGGGGGCCTGTCCAACGAAGCCATTGCGAGGATGTCTCGAGCGGGAGCGCGAACTCAGCGTATCCAGGCCGCGCAGGGGAGTATCCAACATGGTTACCCCGAACTGGAACCATGTGTTTTTTACATGGCCAAGCCACCCAGGGGGATATCTAACATGGTTGCCCGCCCCAGGGTCGGGGAAGCGTGAAAACGCATGGGTCCCTAACGCCCCATGGCGGGAGAAGCGTGAAGACACATGGGTTCTTAACGCACTGGGGCGGAACAGGCGTGAAAACGAATGGTTCCTAATGACCAAAGGCGGGACAAACGTGAACACTAATTGGTTCCTAACGCCCCATGGCGAGACAAACGTGAACACACGTGGGTTCCCAACGCCCCGGGGCGGGAGAAGCGTGAAAACACATGGGATCCTAACGCCCAAGGGCGGGGCAAGCGCGAAACCATATGGGTCCCTAACACCCCTGGGCGGGAAAAGTGCAAAAACACATAAGTTCCTAACGCTCCAAAAAGCCCCAGGAGGCCCCAGGAGGCTCCAGGAGGCATCAGGAGGCACCAGAGGGCACCAGGAGGCATGGCACATCGCAGTTGGCACGTTCTGTAGCGCGTCCCCTTGGCACGTCCCGCGGTGCGTCCCCACGGCACGTCCCCAGGGACGTCGCCTGGCGCGTCCCTTGGGACGTTCCGCGGCGTTCCCTCCTGGCATGTCCTCCTGACAACTAGCTCTGGGGCAGCTACTATGTACCCAGGCAGCTCGAGCTTAAGATCCAGATCAGTTCGGTCAGGACTCGGATGCAAAGGGGCACTCGATCCACTACGCTAGAAAGCACAATCGCGGCATGGCGCATCGCAATTCAGCACGGCGCAACACAGCACGGCCCTCGGCACGGTGCGACAAGAACGATACATTCAGCATCGGGTTTGCTCGTCGCCCATCAGGTGTTCTTGAAGCGTCGCCATGCCTTACATGTCTACATTATTTTCCGGGTTCGTAGGGTCGATCATTTCGGGCGTAGCCCGAAGTTGTTTGTGGCGAGGTAACTGACTGAACTGACTGAAATGAATTGAGTGTCTGGTCGCACCTGTTCGGAAAACGTTGTACGCTTGGCGGCCGAGGGAGCAACCTGTGGCGCAACCAATCGGCGGACGCCTTATTTTCGGCGGCGGAGGGCGCAACCGACGGCGCAACCAAGGGGGTGCCATGTTATTCTCGGCGGCCCGGGGCACAACCTATGGCGCAGCCACAAGGAGGACGTTTTACTCTCGGCGGCCGAGGGCGCAACCAATCGCGCAACCAATGGGAGGCCGTGTTTGTTTCTCGGCGGCCGGGAGGCGCAACCTATGACGCAGCCAATAGGAGGGCGTTTTACTCTCGGCGGCAGAGGCGCAACCTGTGGCGCATCCGATGGGAGGCCTTGTTTTTCTCGGCGGCCGAGGGCGCCACCAATTGGCGCAACCTTGGGGCGCATCCGCTGGACGGCCGCGTCACTCTCGACGGGCGAGCGCGCGACCTGTGGCGCACCTACATCGGGCGGGGAGGAACGTGAGGACGACGGGGAGGAGGAGGCAGAGGAGGAGGAGGTCGACGACGACGGCCAGAAGGAGGACGACGGCGACAACGAAGACGAGGTGGACGACAGGGAGGCGCAGGACCGGGACGATCACGACGAAGACCACGACGACGACGACGACGACGACGACGACGGCGGCGGCGGCAAAGGCGGCGAAGACGACGACCACCGCCACAACGACGACGCCAAAAGACGACGACCACACCGAAAGGGCCCAGACTGGCTGGACGTCACAACGCGCGCGGGGCCACGCTCGACATATGCTCGCCGCTTGGGCTGGCAATGGGGCCAAAGCGGCGAGCTGTCTTGTGATTCGTGGCGTATGGAAACAGAAAGACGAGCCGAGAAGCCCCCTAGACCCTGGGCGGCTCAGGACGGCCCAAGAGGCTCCCAAGAAACCCACAGACGGTCCCAGAGGGCCCCTTGAAACCCCGAGAGCCCCCCAAGACGGCCCAAGAGACCCCAAGGAGGGGGCCCCAAGAGGGGAAAAAGGAGGAGCACGAAGGGTCTCAGAGAGCCCTCCCCCACAAGATGGCCCCCAAGACCCCGAACACGCCCCCAAGCAGCCCCCGGGGGGCCCAAGAGGCCCCCAAAGAGCCTCCAAAAGGATCCCAAGCGCCACCCTGGAGGCCTCAAGGGAGCCACCGAAAAGCAAGTAACAGACCCCACAAGACTCCCAAAAAGCCTCGTCGTCGTCACCCTCCTCCGCCTCACCCTCCTCACCATCCGCGTCATCCTCCCCCTCCTCATCCAAATAATCCACATAATCCACATCACCATCACCATCACCATCATCATCGCCATCGTCATCATCCTCATCCTCATCCTCATCATCATCATCATCATCATCAGCAGCAGCAGCATCATCATCATCCACATCACAATCCTCATCCCCATCATCACCATCATCATCCTCATCCCCATCATCATCATCATCCTCATCATATTCGTCACCATCATGATCATGATCAGCATCATCAGCATCATCTGCTTCATACTCAGCAAATCATCATCATCGACATCAGCATCATCACCAGCCTCTTGTCATCACCATCATCCTTATCATCAGCATCATCATCACCATCCTCATCATCATCATCATCATCATCATCATCATCATCATCATCATCATCATCATCATCATCATCATCATCATCATTATCAGCATCATCATCCTCATCCTCATCCTCATCATCATCGTCATCATCACCCGCATCAGCATCCTCATCATAACCATCATCACCACAATCATCATCCACGCCTACATCAGCATCATCATCAACAGCATCACTGTCAGTATCCTCATCAGCATCCTCATCGTTGTCATCAGCATCATCATCATCTGCATCATCATTATCATCCGCGCCAGCATCAGCATCAGCATCAGCATCAGCAGCATTACCATCATCGTCATCATCATCATCAACCTTATCATCGTCGTCATCATCACCCTTGCTCCTCCTCATTCTCCTTCTCCTCATCCTACTCATCCGCATACTCCTCCTCGTCATCGTAGTCTTCCTAATCCTCCTCCTCCTCATCATACTCCTATTCGTATTCCTCTTCTTCCACCTCCTCACCCTCCTCCAAACCATTATCATCATCAGCAGCATCCGCAGTATAAACGTCAACAGCGGGATCAGCATCGTGATTATCATCAGCATCAGCATCAGCATCGTCGTCGTCGGTGTCATCATTAAATTGTCATAATCATCACCAGCAGCATCATCAGAATTATCGGCATCATCATCATCAGCATCATCATCATCAGCGTCATCATCCCCATCCTCCTCCTCCTCCTCCTCCTCCTCCTTCTCCTCCTCCTCCTCTATTCCTTGTCCTGATAAACAACTTTTCCCTGTCGCACTCCGAGGCCAGTTTTTAGGGCGGGCTGGGCGTTTCGCCTGAGACTTCCTCACTAGTTATGACCCTGAAGCTTCAAAAAAAAATGGAGGGCGGATGGCTTTCCAGATGTAGCTCTCGCCCTAGCGCCGCGCGCATTCGTCTTAAAATATGAAAGAAGATCACAGATTGATGGCGATTCCTTTTCAAAATAATGCTCTCGCCTTAGCGCCGCACTCATTCCTGATTAGTACCTGTAAGAGTTTTACGGATTCCCATGATCAGAGTGCCAGAAATGGTGGCGTGGAAGGATTCAGGATTATGAGGGTGCAAAGCTTACATTGGCTCGCGGTGCCGAAGTCCGAAGACTCGCGTTTTGGTACGATTCTGGACCGTCTTGACGCAACGCTCAAAGTGATCCGGGGCGATGGAATCCCGAGAACAATGTGTTCGCATGCTTCGGGTTTTCAAACGGTCGTCTTCCAAAGAGGCAGTTCGCTGTAGGGACCTATGAAGAGGGGGCTTGGAGGGAGGGATTATTCTAGCATCGTTGCTGATTCTTGGGTTTACACTGGTCCTCCCCCTCCTCCTCCTCCTCCTCCTCCTCCTCCTCCTCCTCCTCCTCCTCCTCCTCCTCCTCCTCTTCCTCCTTCTAGCCACCGTAGTCTTCATCTTCCTACTCCTTCTACTGCCCTCCCCCTCGTGCCTTCTCCGTCGTCGTCCTCCTCCTCCTCCGCCTCCTCCTCCTGTTCACCCGTCCCTGTCATCCCTCATCCCTTCATCCCCCCGTCCACCTACAGGCTCGCGCTCGGAAGGTCGCATCTGACAGCCCTCTAGGAGGCTGAGAGTAGAAGGTGCAACATTTTAACGCCGTTGTCGTCGTGCGATGCCCCTTCGCACGCAGTTTGTCGAGTGTCTCCTAGGGCGTCGGCGGGATGGCGTCAGTTTCTTGAATAATCGATTGGTCGGTCTGCAGAAGCTGGTCACTAAACCTCAACGACGGCAAGGCGGCAACGTGCTAGGCCTCTCGCGTCAAGCTAGCGGCACCAAGTCCCGGGACTGGTGCAGCCCGAATACGCGTCTGACCGCTCGTTGAAACCCGGGCAGTTCGAGCCCGGGAGGTACACGCGATTGTTCCAATCGGTGCCACAACTGCCGCACTGTCCTGGTTGAGGCCACCAGCAACAATAGTTCGAGGCACATCCGCTCCCGGGAGTCGGCGCAGGCGTCGGACCCGGCTTGTCGCAGCAACCACTGGCGGGGCAGTCGGACAAGTCAGGGCAGCGGCCAATCGGGTTGGAGTGGGGATCGCAGCCGATGGAGCACTTGCTGGACGCGTTCGCTTGCACGTGCACCTGCGCCAGGGCCGCCTGGTCGCAACATCCACTGGCGGGGCAAATGGACGAGTCAGGGCAGAGGCCAATCGGGTTGGAGTGGGGATCGCAGCCCACCTTGCAGGGGCCCGAAGGTGGCGACGGCGACGGAGTCGGCGCAGGCGTCGGACCCGGCTTGTCGCAGCAACCACTGGCGGGGCAGTCGGACAAGTCAGGGCAGCGGCCAATCGGGTTGGAGTGGGGATCGCAGCCGATGGAGCACTTGCTGGACGCGTTCGCTTGCACGTGCACCTGCGCCAGGGCCGCCTGGTCGCAACATCCACTGGCGGGGCAAATGGACGAGTCAGGGCAGAGGCCAATCGGGTTGGAGTGGGGATCGCAGCCCACCTTGCAGGGGCCCGAAGGTGGCGACGGCGACGGAGTCGGCGCAGGCGTCGGACCCGGCTTGTCGCAGCAACCACTGGCGGGGCAGTCGGACAAGTCAGGGCAGCGGCCAATCGGGTTGGAGTGGGGATCGCAACCGATGGAGCACTTGCTGGACGCGTTCGCTTGCACGCGCACCTGCGCCAGGGCCGCCTGGTCGCAACATCCGCTGGCGGGGCAGTCGGACAAATCAGGGCAGCGGCCAATCGGGTTGGAGTGGGGATCGCAGCCCACCTTGCAGGGGCCCGAAGGTGGCGACGGCGACGGAGTCGGCGCAGGCGTCGGACCTGCCTTGTCGCAACATCCACTGGCGGGGCAGTCGGACAAGTCAGGACAGCGGCCAATCGGGTTGGAGTGGGGATCACAGCCCACCTTGCAGGGGCCCGAAGGTGGCGATGGCGACGGAGTCGGCGCAGGCGTCGGACCCGGCTTGTCGCAGCAACCACTGGCGGGGCAGTCGGACAAGTCAGGGCAGCGGCCAATCGGGTTGGAGTGGGGATCGCAACCGATGGAGCACTTGCTGGATGCGTTCACCGCCAGAGCGACCCTCGCCTCCGCGCGGCGCAGCTGCGCCAGGCCCACCTCGTCGCAGCCGTCCTCGGCAGCGCATGTCCCCTCCTCTGCAAGGACTGCGGCGGAGCAGACCACCAGAGCGCTCAACACCAGCCTGCCGAGAGCCATGGTTCAATCGATGCTGCTAAACCGGGCTAATCGAGGCGGATGCAATGCAGCGTACAATACTGCCAGTCGGTCTCCCTTGAGCCCAAATGCTGTTGGCTTCGACCAGGACAGCCGCGATCATCGTCTGGAAGTCGGCTCGATGCTCTCACTGGAGCAGAAAAGTCTTCTTTTCTGAGGACGCTCCACGAAATGAGAGCCAATGCCACCAAGCGGCCCCCGAGAGGCCTCACAAGAGACCCAAAGAAGCCTCCGAAGGCCGCTTGTCCACGACCCAATCTGGTTAAACGCCACTGCGCACCACAGACAGTATGAGCAGGCATGCGCAACCTGCATGTGCAACTCGCATGCGCAACCCTCGCAAATCAGTTCCTACGGGTATGGGCCCGACCAGGTCTACTTCATGGAAGAGTCAGAAATCCATTCATCATGTCATGGCCGTTGGTGGTCACAGCAAATAGGCACGAGAAGTTCCTAGCGAACAAAGACAAGCGTCCCCCCTGAGGCATCAACAAATGCTGCAAAAACAAACGTTTCGCTAGAGACGTCCTCAACAAATGAATTCGCTGGCCCCCCTCGACCCCGCTATTCATCGAAGGACGCATTCGCCGACCCTACGCGAACATGGCACCGGAGACAGTGGACTGGAGCCCTGTCTGGGAAAACCTCGCAGCTCGCGTCTGCTCCTCCGTCCTCCCTCCTTCGCCTGAAGATTTGTTTTCCCCAGGAAGGGCGTCGGCCCAGGATTCTCTTTTAGTTGGTAAGGGGGTCCGGGGGTCGGCCCTCGACTTGCATAGGGCCAGCGAGTCAATCTTCTAATATTCATCGAGGTCGCGTAGGGCTGGCGAATTATTGCTTGAGGATGTCTCGGGCGAAACGCGTGATTTTGAAATCCCGATCGATAAATCACAGGGTGCGAGACATTTTTGGTCAAAGAGATGCACCCCGTGCGTGCCGGCTAAAGGAAAGTGCGCCCAGGGGGGATACCCAACATGATTTCGTCGGTTTCTTCATACGTAGAAAACGTGCGCGGAGGGGATATCCAACATGCGTCTGGCGCCCGTGTATCTGCAATGTGCTTTTACGTGCCCAGGCCTCCCAGGTGGGGTATCTAATATAGTTGCCCCGAGCTGGAACCACGTGCCATTACGTGTCCAGGCTGTCCTGGTGGGCATCTCAAATCGCTGTCCCAATCAGGTGCCACGTGTTGTCACGATTTCAAGCCACAGTTGGGTATCGAACATGGTTGTCCCGAGCTGGAAGCACGGTGTACCCAGGGGATATATAACATGGTTGTCCCGAGCTGGGACCACGTGTTATTACGTGTCCAAACCGCTCAAGGGGGGTATGTAACATGGCGTCTGGCCCAGGAGTGCATAGGAAGCCCCAGGAGACTTCACGACGGCCAAAGAGGCCCCAGGAGGCTCCAGGGGGGCCAGGAGGCACCAGAAGGCCCCAGCAGGCCCCAGGAGACCCCAGGAGGCTTCAGAAGAGCCCAAAGGGCCCCCCAAGAGGAAGCTTCAGGCGGCCCCAGGAGGCGTTAGGAGGCGTCAGGAGGTCTCAGGAGACCACAGGAGGCCGCGGGAGGCCCCGAAAGGGCCGAGGAAGCAGATTGTTATTACAGCTTCCGTGGGGATCGAATCCGTTTTGTTTCTGTGAATTCCTATGAGGATGCATCAGGCGAAACGCTTGTTCCCCACATCCTGATTGGGATCGATGTTCCCCGTACCTACAATACCATACCAGACCAAAACCAAACCTACCATACCACACAAACCATACCACACCTATCATACCAGACCTACCACACCTACCATGCCAACCCGATCATACCATAGCGTATCATACAAAACCATACGTACCATACCATAGCATAGCATACAATACCATACCATACCATACCATACCATACCATACCATACCACAACTACCATGCCATACCACACCTACCATACCAAAGCTACCATACCATACCGACCACTCCAGGGAGGCCACGCCAGAGAGACCACTCCTACTCCCACTCCTCCAGGGAGGCCCCGCCTGAGCGAGGAGGGCAATCGTTAACCATGTTATGTATCACGTGTCGTGCCCCTACCACTCCTCCAGGGAGGCCCCGCCTGAGCGAGGAGGGTATTCGCGAACAATGCTATTTATCAGGTACCGTGCCCCTCCCACTCCTCCAGGGAGGCCCCGCCTGAGCGAGGAGGGTACTCGCAAACTATGTTATGGATCAGGTATCGTGCCCCTCCCACTCTTCCAGGGAGGCCCCGCCTGAACGAGGAGGGTATTCGCAGACCATGTTATTTATCAGGTGCCGTGCCCCTCCCACTCCTCCAGGGAGGCCCCGCCTGAGCGAGGAGGGCAGTCGTTAACCATGTTATGTATCAAGAGTCGTGCCCCTCCCACTCCTCCAGGGAGGCCCGTCTGAGCGAGGAGGGTACTCGCAAACCATGCTATGTATCACGTGTCGTGCCCCTCCCACTCCTCCAGGGAGGCCCCGCCTGAGCGAGGAGGGTACTCGCAAACCATGTATGTATCGGGTGTCGTGCCCCTCCCACTCCTCCAGGGAGGCCCCGCCTGAGCGAGAAGGGCATTCGCAAACCATGTTATGTATCAGGTTACGTGCCCCTCCCACTCCTCCAGGGAGGCCCCGCCTGAGCGAGGAGTTCAGATCTAGTCCAGGATGCCCAATATGTCATTGAAGCTTGCTCAAGCTGGGCTCCAACACGCTGGGGAGCCCTCAAACACTACCAAGATGGCCTCACGACTCCCCAAGAGGCCTCAAAGACGCCAAGAGGGCTACAAGACGACCCTCGATAGGGCTCTAAGAAGCAAGGCGCGTCCAAATCCCTTGGTATAACGGATGTTTCCAGCATCTTCGCATGTGTTCCCTTAAAAGAGTCCAAGACGGCTCAAGATGCCCCCTAGATCGCTCCAAGACGAGCCAAGAAGCCCGAAGGAGGGCCCCAAGACGGCCGAAGAGGGCGCCGAGACCGCCCGAAAGGCGCTCAAGATGGCCCGAGAGAGCCCCACCGGGACCTCAAGGGAGCCCAAGAGAGGCAACTCGACGTGACGCTCCGAGCCCTCCGCCACCAGAGGACCCCCGAGACCGCGAGCAGGCGCCTAACAACTCGCAAGAATCCTAGAGAGACCCCCACGACGCCCAACGAAAGGAGGAGGAGGAGGAGGAGGAGGAGGAGCGGCCCCCAGAGGGCCCCTAAGAGGCCCCAAAAGGCCTCACATGTGGACCTCATCCCTCTTCTGGGGGTCGGCGGAATGGCGCAAGCAGCTCGAATGTCCATATCCAACGCCTCCCGACGCCCAGGAAGATCTGTGCCCAAGGACTTGCCATCGCTCTGACCTCCATTCCTCGCGCATGCTGTCTGTCGGTGCCGTGCGTGGTGCTCTATCTACATATATATATATATATATATACACAGAATGATCGAGGATGCTCCGCGATGGGCCTCGCCGAGGAACAAAACATGCACACGCCCGAGCGCTGCCGAGAGGCGGAGACGGACAAGCCTCCGCCTCGGGTCACCCTGCCCCCCCCCCCCGCGGCAGACGAGCGGAGAGGGTTCCCGACGCCACGGGGGGGGGGAGGGAGGGGGGCGGGGCGCCGCCAGGGGGAGCGGGAGGCTGCGGGACTCGGGCGACGAAATCTACTCGGGTGTTGCTAGAATTTAAATCGGGCGTGTCCCCCTACAGGGGGATCTTCGACGAAAAATAACAATTGACCCAAGAATAATCAACAACTAGTCCAAAAATAGTCTGGGGACTATTTTTTCTAATATGTTCTGACCTTTTCGGTGCATTTGTGGGGGTATTTTTTATGTTCCGTCGAAAATCCCCCTGTAGAGGGACACGCCCGACTTAATGCTAGAAGTGCCCCCCTTGCGCAAGGTGTCTCTAGGATGTCCAAGGAGGCCCCCCGGGCCGCCAGGGCACCCCTCACGAGGCCCATGGGGCCAGGGGCACCATCAGCAACCCCCGATCTACTGGCCATCGCTCGGACGTCCATTCCGTGTTTTTGTTCGGTTTCGTGCGTGGTTTTTCGCCAAGTGATCGAGGATGCTCCTCGATGGTCCTCGCCGAAGGAACAATGCACACGTCCGAGCGATGCCAAGTCTGTGCGTAACGACTGCCCTCCCCTGGGCCCCGGAGCTGTGCAGATGCCCTCCCGGCCACGCCAGGAGGGCGTCGCCGCCCGACCCTTCTTAAGAAACTCCCGAAGCAGATGCATTCTTCTCCTCCTCCTCCTCCTCCTCCTCCTCCTCCTCCTCCTCCTCCTCCTCCTCCCCTCCTCCTCCTCCCTCCTCCCCCTCCTTTCCCTCCTCCTCCTCCTCCTCCTCCTCGTCCTCCTCATCCTCCTCCTCCTCGAGGCTGGGACGCAGAACGACAGCCTGGCACTGTGCGCCCCCATCGGAGGCGCACGTTCGAGCCGACCATACCAGAGGCCTCCTGGATGGGGTGAGAGCAGATGGGGTCGAAGGATCGCGCCGCATCGGCGACGTCGGCGTGGATAACATCGGGTTCCGCATCGAGCCGCATCGCCGATGCATCGCCGGTGCATCGGCGATGCGGCGCGATCCTCCGACCCCATCTACTCCGACCTCATCTAGCAGGCCTGGACATACAGCACCAACATCTTACAGCGTATCGTTACCCGAGCGGTATGGCCAGACAGCGCCAACCACCGAGCACACACAATGAGACGTTTGATCGCGCGCCTCGCCCCTGAGGGTTCGACGCACACATGGGTGAAGTATGGTTGGGTGATGCCGAAGCGAGGCCACGCCCCCGATAAGGGGGCCGCCGCTGGGGGAAAACGGCCAGGACGGCGGGCAGGACGCAGCGCCTCGCCAGCCTCTGCAGGATCTCCTCGGACATTCTCTCGCCTGCGCTCGGGCAAGAGGGACCCCATCATACCCCGCACCTCTCCTCCCCGCATCCAATCAGATCGTCGACGATGCTCGTTCGAAACAGCAGCGTCGGCAAGCTGGCCCGCAGAACCCCGAGGGGCCCAAACGCGCAACCGCGTTTCGCCGTCGCCCGAAACTCGATCCGAACCAAGGACGCTATCCCGCCTGCGCTCGGGCAGGCGAGAGCCCCGGCCTCCAGGCGAGACGGCCTCCCCTCCCTCCGCAAGGGGGCGGTGTTTCCTCCCCTCTCTGCGCCCCCAAAAAAGGGGGGGGGGGTCTCGTCGTCACGGCTGGGTCCGCCTTGAGAGTCTGGCCGGGACGCGTTTCGACTGTGGGCGGAACGGGAAGCGGCGGCGACCGGCTCCGGACTCCTGCCGGATGCGAGTGTGTGCAACAGTGCGTCTCCCGGGGGAGACCCCACCTGCTGGAATCAGGCGCCAAAACAGCCAAGAGCTATGTTATGGGGGTGGGGATAGGGTGCGAGGGCCCGCGCCGATCGACAAAACAGCGAGCAAGGAAACGATCGCCAGAACAATCCGATGGCCGATGTTTGACCCGTGCGCCCTGGTATCCTCGCGCGCTGTGGAAGACGTCGCGGCGAGAAAGGTCCGCCACCTGTTTGGGCTTCTGGAGGTCGTCGCCCGACCCCCAAAACGTCCGACCAGGTTCACAGCGAGAAGCTTGTCCCCACGACGGGTCAAAACCTCCGGGGGGGCAGTTTCTTGATGGCCCAGCGAGGATACTAACTAGTTAGCGGTGGTTGTCTCATGTTTTAAAGATGAGAATATTGAATGTCAATAGTGATCGCACTTATTATATATATAATGTGACACCACAATCAGCAAAAAAAACTGGGTCGTCCAGGTTGCCTAACTTTGTCCGAGAATGGAGTGGCATAATTGTTTGGATGGCTTGGCTTTGTCTGGGGGAGGCTAAACTCGATACGAGACACGAAGATTCACTCGGCGGGGCTACATTCCAGAAGCTTCAAACATCTGCAGAAAGATTGCGGCCATCGCGAAACAATGACACTCACGTGCAACAGTCTGATGTATGTTGCCGGCCGAATGCAAGTTCTGATGACGTCGGTCCTCGTATGGACCGTTGGGTGATTCAACAAGCAGGTCGGTATGAGCTCTGCGTTTGTTTTCGTCGGTGTCGCGCCTGCCCCATCCCGCGCACACCCGCCGAGCTCCCAACCGTCACTTGAATGTCAGCGAGGCCGCTTTCATCTCCAATCAAGACAATGAAGGTCACCTCGACCCAACGATGTATTATAAAAATAAGCTTTGGTACTGGAAACTGCCGAGTGCGTCACCGGACGCAAATGTCTTAGGGTATCGATTGCGTGTGCATGCTACAATTAGCTTGCGCAACCACTCGCACAGCAGAAGCGCGTAAGATCGTGGCGGCGCTGGGTTACGAGTTGCAGCATGAAGGCTGTCTCGGGACGCGCCATGCAGAGGTGATGACGCGAGAACCACTTAACAGCTGGGTGCTCCCTTTGGCGCACGAAGCACGACAACCACCCGAACTTGCGATGCGCATCGGGAACATGCGTGGTCATGTGAAACTTGCACACCAAGCATGTCCCGCTAAAGCTCTCATGGCGCAGCCGCAGACGCCCCCATGACAGCGAACGAGAGGTCGTCGCAGCTGACGGCCCCACCCCTGGATAAGACGACGAAAAAATCAAATGCGCCACACGCTGCCCAGAGGCTCGAAACATTGTCGGCACGAGCCCCCACCAAACCCACCTTCAACTCTAGCAACAACATCTCCAACGTCGTGCGCGAGCTCGGCCAGACAGGTCATAATATCATATGAACCCGCTGACAGCTCGCCAGCATCGAACGCTCGGCGAGCACGTCGGACCCTGAGCGGCCAAAAACCCATTCGCGGGATATTCGTCGGCAGCGCCGCCATCGGTGATCTCCTCGGCTGGCGAGGTGCCCGCGAACGCCGCGCCCCCCTCCTCGGCAACGCTGCCCACGACGCGCGCGCGCGACCCGTGAAACTCCAGCGGCATCGCGCCGCGCCTGAGGAAATGGTCCACGGCGGCGCGCTTCGGCTGGCAGTTCGAACCACCAAGCTGACTGAGCTCTCTAAATCGCCCATCTGATATATCACCCCGACCAAACTTTTCCAAGCGGGGGGGATTTCTTTGCGAGATCGTTTCGACGGTTGCGTCTGCGCCGAAAACCACGCGCCCTTGTCCGGGGGGCCGCGTGGCGCGCGCCAACCACTCGCATCGCATGCGCCACGCTCGAACTCGGATTTGATATTCCCCCAGATCGACCGATCGAGAAAGTCTCAGACTGCCAAGAGCGAATCGACTGGACACTGACTCTGGTCAGAGGGCACGCGACGGCGGCAGCGACCAGCTCGCAACCGGCGCGCCCCATAGACAAAGGGCGAGTGGAGGAAGGCTTGCGGACGGGCGCAGCAGAGTCAACAGACGGACGGCGCCCATTCGCGAGGTGCGCCCCGAGCAGTCCACGAGTATCATCACGAGGGGGGGCGCGAGGGCGGGAGATGCAATGGCACTAGGACTCGCAGGAATGTCTCCAGCGCCATCGCGCGCCCAACATCCACGGGGCAAGCCGTCGACCCCTGGCGCGGGGCCCCCAGAATGCCCCACTAGTGCAGCAAACTCTGCACGAGAACATCAGCGCGCTGGATGCGCGGCAAAAGGGCGCCCCACAACGCGCGACAAGGCACGCGCGCCACAAAGACGTCACCCTGGTATCTTGCAAGCTCTTTGCCAGCGCGCTGCGAGGAATCACGCGGGCGGCCAAGTGCCCCCCACAAGAATGTCACCGAGCCTAACAGACTTGTTAAGACCACGCCACCGCTCACGATTGCGACGCACGCGCGCGCGCCCACGCGCAAGTTCGCGCTCGGGGATCGCGCCGGCGCGCTGCAACGTCTCTCCCCCATCGAACAACTGGCCACTCAACGGCGCAAACAGGCCAGCAGTGTCAATGGGCGCCCGAACACCCACGTCAAAGAAGGACACGAAATGAGGGCGCGCACGCGCAGCAAGAACAACCAGGCACTGCACATCAACACGACATCCACGAAGACGGGCAACACACCAATGCAAGTATCCGCGTTGCGCCCGTGCCGCAAGACATCGCACCGTTTTCCGAAACTCAGCACGGGCCTCGTGAGTTACCACCTCGGCACTGGCCAAGCGCTGCCCGATCGGGAGCGCCGAGACCAAAGCCGCGACCCCACCAGGAAGTAGGCCCGGAACTCCGACGCACGAGTTGCCCACGCAGGGGCAAGGGGAGGGCCGTCGGAGAGACGAGGCTCGGGGGCAACAGTCGCCACCACAGGGACGCGGTCGGAAAGGTTCTTCAGATTGGTAGGCATGCCTATCGTCGAACCGGCGACAACGAGATCCATCAAGAATGCAAGGGAGATGCCATTTCACACGCGACCCAGACGAGCTGTAGATACCCTTGGGGCGCTGCCAAGCACGACGGGCATCCTGCCGCCGACGCAACTCAGTCCAGTCATCATAGCACGAGTTCCATTCGCGAGAGAACGCAGCATTCCCACAACTAGCGGCTCCAGTCTCAAGCTTAAGACAAACTCCATCACCCAGCACAAAGTTGAAGTCGCCAAGCAAGAAGTGGGGCGCGGCGGAGGATGGCAAAAGAGCTGAGCGAACAGCAGAGAGAGACACTGGCGGTAGTACCCAATATCAGCATCACCCCTTGGCAAGCGAAAAGGCAGCGATTCCCAGGAGTCCAGATGTACCCGATCCAAGGACGTAGGGACGAGGAAGGTCTTCCAGGGGGTCAGCGATCTAGGAATGAAGCTAGACAAGTGCGTCGCGAGCGACGACTGAACACAGACCAGGACCCCATGCCCAGGAAAAGTCTGAGCGCCCAAGACAAACTCGTGAAACGAATACTCCTTCTCAAGAGCGACCAGGTCGCAACAGTGCCCGTGGGACTACCGAACGCAGACAATCTAGTGCTTCCTCAACAACCCAGAGAAGACACGACATCGAGTAAAGGCCCGTCTCTTCATACTGTTGTTGACGCTACCAAACAGACAGCGAACATCGGCGGGCCGGTAGGGGGGACCGCGCTGCCCGAATCTCTCCCCAAGAACGAATTGCGCCGCACAAAAGCAACCATCACGCAGGAAAAAAGCAATGTCCTGCGTCAGCCACCCAGCCCCCAGCGGAGCACCCTCAGAAAAACATTTGCATACGTAAAAGCGTCAACTGACCTGAGACCCAGACCCAACTGCTGCTTCCCACTGATACCGATAACGGCGAAGTGGCAAGCGAACGCGGGAGACCGAGGCATCTCGAACCACGACGTGGGCTTCGACACATTAAAGAGCTGCACCGCATCACCCGAGGCATCGTTCGAAGCGAAAATGAACCAGTTGCCCACAGACGGGTCAATAGACCACCCTTTGAGCACTGGGGTGTCTTCGAAAAGGCCCTCGAGCTCGTTGCGAATCTGACCCTTGACAATCAACTGGTTGTTAGCCGCAACGTCACGGAGCGGCTTCAAGCGCAAGGTCCTGGGGCCCTAGAGGGTCTTGAACCCGAACCCTTCATCATAGCGCTTACGGAACGCGTCAATCGTCCTGGCGGCTGCATCAGCATGTCAAGCCCTGCTTCCGTTTGCAAAATGATGATGAGGATAATGCTGGTGAGATGCTGAGATGATGACGATAACAGTGGAGATGGTGATGATGATGCTGCTGATGATGATGGCGATGGCCTTGGTGATGGCGTTGGTGATGGTGATGGTGATGGTGATGGTGGTGATGATGATGATGACAGTGATGACGGGAGGAGGGAAGAGGAGACAGCGGGAAGAGTGGATCGCGGCGCTGTTTCATCAAAACGAGGACCCAACACCACAGGATGTTTCGGACAAACTTGACAAACTTGAACTGGAACAACTACGGAGGAGGGTGGAGGGAGGCGTCAGCGGGAGGAGGGAAGAGCCATCCCGCCGCATTCCCGCGCGGGTCACCGTTCGACAGCTGCACCTCCCGGATCGCCTCGATACTCCTGCCAGAAGGGTTGGGATCGGAAACGGCCGCGCGTGGCCCCGCCATGTGCGCAGAGCACTCACCTCCAGCTCTCCCCCTCCTCATGCCTCGTCGAACCTGCTCCACCGACCCCTATCCTTCCACTCCCCCCTCCTCCTCCTCCCCCTGCCCCTCCTCCCCGTCCTCCTCCTCCTCCCCCTCAAACATTTCTCTCGGGCAGGTGGGAAGGCGAGTTGTGGGCGGCTAACTTAGGAGTGGCACTGCCCCCACAAGCTACCAAGGGCCAGGCGACCGCCGTCTCCCCCCTTGCCTAGCTCCCCGCTCCCAGAACCAGCACTGTCCCAAGGTCACGGCGAACCCCTGAGATGCCGCCCAGGTGCACAAGGGGAACGTCCCGGGGACCAGCTCGACAGCGAGGGGAGGGAGGCGGAGAAGGAGGAGGCGGAGGGCGCTTGGCGAGGATGGTTTAGCACTGCTCTCTGCTGCAAGGGTGACCATCCAAACGTTGAGACTAGGTGTTCCTGCTTCTCTACCCCGTCTCGCGAGAGGAGAAGAAAGATGAGGAGGAAGAGGATGAGGAGGAGGAGGAGCGGGAAGAGGAGGAGGAAGGAGGCGGAGGAGAAATGAGGAGTGGGGGCGGAGGGGCGCGGAAGAGGCAGGAGGTCTGCTCACCCGTCTGACTGGGGCGTGGTTGGCATCGAGCAGCAAGCAGGAAAGGAGCGCCCCTCACAGGAGCTCCAACAAGGAGCGCAGAAGAGTGCACATCGGGAGACCTTCAGGTCATGATCGGCGGCGAGCCCGGGGGGGGAAGTGAAAGGGGTTGGCCTTCTCAGAAGGCTCAGAAGTCCCCTGGCCTGGCCTTCTGAAACGTTTTCCGAGCCTTCCCCGGAGACACAGAAGACCTCTCAGAAGGCCAGAGGGCTTCTGAAAAGCCTCACGGCATTCTGAGAAGGCCTCAACATTTCACTTTCCCCCCTTCGCTCGCAATGAGTCGGGGACGCACTGACCCGGGTCAATGCAAACCTGGGTCAATCAGGATTCGCAGGATCTTGCAAGATTCTGCACGCAAGCCCAGGTCAATGCATCCACCTGACTCTGCAGGATCCCGCCAGATCCGGCGCTCTGGCTGGCCCTCCGTTGCCGAAGGCTCCCGCAGTGTGCACAAAGACCTGCACATCGGGAGACCTTGAGGAGAGGAGGAGGAGGAGGAGGAGGAGGAGGAGGAGGAAGAGGAGGAGGGGAGGAGGAGGAGGAGGGGGAGGAGGAGGGGGAGGAGGAGGAGGAAGGAGGAGGAGGAGGAAGGAGGAGGAGGAGAGGGAGGGGGAGAAGGACGGAGGAGGAGGAGGAGGAGGAGGAGGAGGAGGAGGAGGAGGAGGGAGGGGAGGAGGAGGAGGAGGAGGGGAGGAGGAGGAGGAGGGAGGAGGAGGAGGAGGACGACGGAGGACGAGGAGGAGGAGGAGGAGGAGGAGGAGGAGGAGAAGTAGGAAGAGGAGGAGGAGGAGGACGAAGAGGAGGAGGGGGGGGAGGGGGAGCAGCAGAAGAGGAGGAGGAGGGGGAAGGGGAGGAGGAGGAGGTGGTGGAGGAGGAGGAGGAGGAGAAGGTTGAGGAGGAAGAGGAGGAGGAGGAGGAGGAGGAAGAAGGGGAGGTGGGAGGAGGAGGAGGAGGAGGAGGAGGAGGAGGAAGAGGAGGAGGAGGAGGAGGAGGAGGACGAGGAAGAGGAGGACGAAGAGATGAATGGCACGGGGGGAGGCTCTGATGGTCACCGCCCGAGCGCGCGGGCCGCCACGGCGCGATCCCAGCGGAAGAGAAGATGCCACCCTCCCGACGGGCCCCAGGACCGCCAGGCCTCTCCGCAAACCCATGGCCAAGACACGTCCAAGCGCTCTCTTGCCTTATGATGCTCCCATCGTACTTGAGGCATCCCAGACATAATTCCGAACACCCGGGAAAGTATCGAAGCAGGGTCGAACGAGCATAGCCTCCAAGGGCCCGACGCGTGAAAACCCTCCAACTTCGGTGCTCGCCTGGTGTTCGAAATTATTCCTGGTGGCCAAGGCTAAAGTAGGTTGGAACATCATAAATACTGCCATCGATCGGACGTCCATTCCTCGTGCATGTTTCGGTTTCGCGCGCTGATTTGTCGCAGGATGATCCGAGGTGCTCCTCGAGGGTCATCGCCCAGGAGAAACGCACACCTCCGAGCGATGCCAAGTCCTTTCAACCATGAAAACGTACGTACAGAAACAGCGCAATCAAAGGAGCACCCCCTGTTTGATTACATGGCGCCCGTGCTCAATGAGACGGGTTCGCATTTGGGCACAACTGGTTGGCTCAACCTTCTTCTTGTGTCTCTCGCGGCCCAGCCTAGCCCTCACGGACACGAGCACACGTCAACGGCACGTAACGACTGCTCGAGCTGATGGTCGAAAGCCGCTTCATCACTAGAAGCTAATTCGATCGGTCAAGAAAAAAGCGGTGGTATGGGGAGGGGAGGAGGAGGAAAGGAATGAGAAGTAAGAGGGGAACGAAAACAGAGGAAGGAGGGAGCTTGAAGAGGACTGGCAGGCGGAAGGGGGGCAGGAGCAGCAGCAGCATTCGCAACAGAAGGGATAAGCGGAACATTAAACCTAGACGTGAAGGAAGAAAGGATACGACTTGGATGCGAGTAACAACCAGACAGCAGATCTAGCTTAACGATATGCAACTGGTGATCGGACATCCCGGCGCTGGATCTGATCTGGGGCCTCTTTACCTGCAGGGGCTGGGCGCCTTTTTTACACAAACATCCACAACGCCAGCCCCCCAGCGCTCCGCCTGCCGGCGCTTTGGACCCCAGGCCCCCGCACCTCCAGCACAAAAATCTGGCCATACATAATAGCTGAAGTATGTGATTCATGGACTTCGACCTGATACTAAACCTGAAAGGGGAGGCGGACGGACCTGTCTGCCTCGGGACTCTGCTCAGTGGAATTGGGGCGCGGGGCGTTTGCCTTGGCGAATACAATTTAACACCGACAACTTCTCTGGGCCGCCCTGGCAATGGCTACACACCCAGGGGGAACCTATCCTAGACAGCTGGTACCCCGAGGTGTTCTCCAGGTCGCGCGGCTGACGGCAGGCTTTGCACGAGCGAACCATACGCGGGAAACTCTCGAGCTCGCACTCGGATACCACAGCCGCCGCACTCGCCGCCGCCAGTCTTCGCTGGGTCGGCCACTCTTTCACTTCAGCTATGGCGAGGTCTCGGACCTAGGCGTTAATCTCTGCCGACATCTGCACCGCTCCTACCTGCGCAAACATGTCCGCAAGCTTATTGCTTCTGGTCGCAAAGGGGGCGGAACTTGAAAAGCAATGGAACCCCTTATCGGGGTGCGAACTACACCGACTTGGGCATCACGCGCCGATCCCAGACTCAGAACTGTTTCTAACCCACCATCCTTCCAGAGTTCCAGAGGTGTCTGAGAAAGCACGCCAACCATCGTGGACGACCTGGCTGTCCGCATAAAGCCACGCGGGGGGCCTTCGTCACCTTCAAAGCCCACCAGAGGGCCGCAATCTGCGCACAAGGAGCCGCCTGGGCCCCATCAAGTCATCCGCAGGCCCCGAAACGAAGGATCCTAGGGCCGTCGTCTTCCACTCGCTGAGCAAAGTGGGCGAAGTAGACCCCCAGCCCGCGCGCGCCGTGCGCGCGACGCTGCCCGAGGCGGAGCCGTCTAAGAAAGCCACCTTGCACTCGATGCGCCCGTGGCTGTTGACGGCGCCGTCGGGCAGCACAGCAGGCCCATCCCGGACCAAGTAGAACGGATAGCACGACGCACCCCACGGCGGAGGTGGCGGCACCGAATTCCAAGCACAGGGTACGAAGCCCCATTTCCCGCAGATCCAACTTGGTGCCGTTGGCGATGTCGCGTGCTGTTTCTTCTCTGAGCCTGTCGCTCTGCTGTGTCCACGGGCCATCCCTCGCGTCGGCGTGGGGGCAGCCCCAGACTCCGCGGACTATGATGCCCCTCTCGCCTACCTGGCACCAGGTGCATATACCGTCGCGCGTGTAGCCCGCACTGCGACACCCCGCTCCTGCTCAGATCGCGCTGCGCTCTAGTGCCTCCAGAGCGCCAGCTTCTCGGTGCCAACATGCCCGTCGCATCCGCTGCAGCACCCGCGCCACTGGGGTCGCATTTGGTGCTGAGCTCCATTTGCATCCATTGGCCGCGTGCTGCCATGATTCCTGAATCACGTCGGAGAACTTGCCTGTCCACCAAATTCAAAGCTCGCGACGCCCGCTTTCCATGCTGGGGCACTCCTGCTGCAGGATACCTCTCCCTCGGAGCCGCGGTCGCAGGGCGCGCCCGCCCCAAGGGCGAAGGAGACGCAGACGCCCGCGACGGTGATGGCATCTCCACGGCCTCGCCCCCCACGTCCTCGAACGGGTCGGGCTCGCCATCCACGTTGGAAGCTCCTGGCGGGCGCGGCGCCTGTTGACGATGCACTGGTTGTTCCGGTACCCCGAAGCACTGGTGATGATCTCCTCCTGCTGCGTCATGCCGCAGTGGAGATGAGGCGCTGGCGTCGACGCCGTCGTCGGGCAGCCACCCCATCTCTGCTAAGCCCATGAAAGGCGCCGCCATTGGTCCGGTAAACACATCCCAGCGTCTCCTTGGACGCGCGCGACGAGGCCGTTGTAGTGCAGCGCGCCATCCTGCCCGAAACTTGTCACTCTGTTATCCGTCGCATCAGCCCAGCCGTCTTTTGATCGTTCTTCATAGATGGCAGTAGCAGAATAATGTATGTGATCCGTCCTCCTGTGGCATGGCCAAGCATATCCGCTGCCGCATCCCGCGCACGGCGCACTGCTGAGGGTGGAGGGCCCGCTGCGGGAACATCATAGCTGGCCTTGGCCCTGACATTGGCCCTGTTCAACGTTGCCAACTTGCGCCTGCGAAGTCCAACGCCCTTGAAGGCTCGAGCTCGCCTGACACGCGCTCGCGCTGTTTTCTATCGCGTCGCGGCCGCGGTAGTACG